AGAGCAGAGGGGTGAAGAATGGAAGCAGTTAAGTAAAGGCTTTTCTGAAAAGGAGGGTTTTGAGTCTGGATTTGAAGGAGTTTAGAGAAGGTGACTCTCTAATATCCTTGGGCAAGGAGTTCCAGAGCTTGGGGGCATAGCAGGAGAAGGCCCTGTCGCCCATACAATGGTACTGCACCGATAGGAGACACAGGGCTAAGTGTGGGTGTGACTCTACTTTCCTAGTATTGAAAAAATGATTTCTTGGTAAATCTGGGTTTAAGACTGAAAACTGAGTTACAACGGTAAGTAGTTTTCAAACTAGCTGATTTTAACTTCTGTAGTTAATTTCAAGCTGAATAATTGAGGCACAATGCCCTGCTGATTCTAAAAAGTCTGGCATCAAGATTCACGGCTACTTGATTAGTTGAAGTGTTTTCTTTTGTTGCAGCCTGATGAATGGTATGGGGGACAGGATTCAGCAGTGTTTCTGTTTCGCTTTATTAAGGTAAACTGAGGGAAGCATTGCACACACCTGCAAAGAGAATGCAGATTGCTGGCTGTCAGGAAACAAATTCAACTGATAGGTGAATTTGACTAATTTTGCCCATGTCAGCAGTTACAAAGCATCGTAGGTTTCCTGCTTTGTGCTACAAGTGTTCTGGGCACTTTTTTTATCAATTTGGTTTAAAAAAAAATCACAGGCATCAGTTTTCTTCAACAAAGTTTAATATAAAAAGAAACACAAGGTTTATAGTTTGGATCACAGTTACAGAATAATTCACATTGTATGGCTTAGGGCACAGGTCTCCATTCCTGTTCCTAGAGAGCCACTGTCCAGCTTATAGAAGGCCATTAAATACTAAAGACTGTGATCAGTTAAACTGGTGATTTTTGCAATGTAATTTAATTTGCATTTAAAACAAACACCCTAAAGACCCTCCAGCCTCTTAGGGTTAAGATAGGATGTCCAGGGGGTTCTCTTTAATTCAAGACCCTAACCAGGCCTGTACTGTGTATACTTTCCAAAATAATTGAACCTATTAAAGGGTCTATTCCAGGAGGATTGACCTTGGCTTCCATTAACTGAGCAAACGGCACGCTTAATTTATCAAAATCTACCACGTCTGTAGTGTTACAAAAGATGATTTAGGATAACCTATAAGACAAAATTATATTGGAGCTCCCCAGGATCAGGGTTCAAGACCCCTGAGTTAGAGTGAAATGTATTTTTGCAATTTTCATCATGAAGTCCACACTGTATAAATAGTCAGGGTGTTTTTTTGTACCATTACCATAATTATTCATCATTATAGCATCTATATTTACAAAAATCACAACACTCTTAAAGATATTAAAAGTCACTCATGAGCTGAGGAATGTCTATTGTATTTCTTCAAACATACAGCAACTTTGTAACGTAGTACAAAATACAGAACAGACTGTTGCTTTGGTTTGAGTGGCAAGATAAAACAACATTAATGACAGATTGCTATCAAAGGTGTGATCATTAACATTGCACTGAAAATGTTTGTAAATGAGTATTAAGTTTTAAAAGACATAGTGCAACTTTCTAGTTTAAAAAATCAGCTTATTGCAAGTTCACATTTAATAAGTATATTTAGAAAGCAACCAACACAACACTGGTTTACTCCATTGACTGTACAGTTCTTCTGATTTTGTGGTGCAACTATAGAGCTGATTTAAATATCATCAGTTGTTTTGCCTTCTCTTTCATTGCTTTTTGACTGCAATAAACCTATAACATATAAATCAGCTATTCACAGCTGAACACAAGTCATTGCAAATGAAGTTGAATGTATGTTTAATTGTAAACTTTAGCACATTAGTAACCATAAAAACAGCCACGTAATAAATAAGACGTTAGGAACGAGAAAGGCTGCTTGACCCATCCAGCCTGTCTGGTAGTTAGAAGCTAAGTAAACCAAGAAACACATCCAGCCATGAAGCAAGGGTTTTGGCTTCAACAACATGGCTAATTCATCATTCCATACACAAAATATTGATGTTTGTTCACAGCAAAAATAAAGTTCACAAACATTCTCTGCAAGATAATTTAGCAACACTATTCCACTAAACTATGCAATGTGTTGCATAGTGTTGCATCATTAAATTAAGTTCATTTAATTCCCATCCTGTCTCAGAGTCCTTGTGTTGCTGCATCCTTGTCATTTTAGCACAGATCTATACCCTCTTTTTGTGCAACTAACTTTAATATGACGACTCTACATGCCTGACAGACAAAAATGAGTTCCTTATTATCATGTGTCACTACAGACAAGCTGTCCTTTGGTGTTTGTAAAACAGGTAGCTTAGATTCCTATATAAATTAGTACCACTGGAACTGTATCTGCTTTTTGTGTGAATCACTGTGTGATTCCTAGGTACAGTATCTAAATAGGTTTGGGCTCCAAAAAGCATTGCCTTACTTCCTTTTCTTTTGTCTTCAGCTTGTGCTGTGTTTCTTGCAGTTGGTGTTCTACTTCTTCCAGTGCACACTCGTTCGTCCCCACTCGCCCCAGGTGACTAGACTGGGGATTGGAATTCCATATTCCAGAGCTTGTTGCTGTAAAATCAAAAAAATAAAAAAGTTAAATGAGTATGTGCAGATTCATAGAATGTTTGGGTCACGTTTGTGAACTTGCGTTTTCCATTCTTCTTAGGGAAAAAAGCAGCCTAGAATGCATCATGAAAATGAACGCATTTCATTTTTTGTAGTGTGATGGATTACAAAGTTGTAATGACCACAGAGCTACCACTTGAGACGGTCACAGAGATACTGTATGTTTGGATGTTAATTGTTTCAAATTGCAAGATTGTTAGTTAATTGGAATGTGTATATGATGTGTGTGTCTTTTTCTTTGTCAGAAGACCAGGGAAACAGGTGGTGGCTACATTAGTTTAATACTTTGTGTTTTTGTGGTGGGGAAACAGTTTGGCTGCCAAGCTTGTAGATGCAGGTCTAGTGACAGCTTGGCTGAGCTAGGATTTGTTAGAGTTTTTAGCAGTCTGTTTTGTTTCATTTCAGTTTAAACCTTAAAAGTAAAAGAACAAGCCTGGACCTTTTAATTGAATTTCCTTGTTGGAGTGGTTAACATGTGAAGATCTCTAAACGGCTGTTCTGAGACTGGGGATCTTCCATAGTAGATAGTCTTGTTCTGTAGTAATACTCTCAAGAGGAAATCTGATTTTACTCAGTTGGTTTCTATCTAACTCTTCTTTGTGACAGGCAAAAATTAACCTAGCATTTCCAAATTTGTGGTCATTACTTTTCTGAGGTATCTAAATTTGAGTAATTTGCTTACTCTGCACATGGCTTGCTGTTGATTTCTGATCTTCAGAGCTCTTCAGTTTCTCTGAAACCAATAAGAAAGTAAGGTAAGAAGGACGGCACACTCTTCAAAGCCTTATATTGAGTGAGTGTGTGGCAGAGTGGAGTGTGATGCCTTGCTTTTCCTCCAAAGCCAGTTTGAGCTAATCTGAAGATCACATTGACTATGACTGTGCTGTGTTACTTCATAGGGAAAATATGAATATAAACACCATTCGAGACAGTAATTGTTTTAGGATTGTGTTGACGACTACAGGATGCATGACAAATACATTTTCCTAATGTTTTCAAACAAGACAATTTCCATGCAAAATCAAAAACCTGAACAAGTCACTATTGATTCTTTGCCACATACAATCTTCAGCTCCTGAGTGACTGAGGTGGACCATCCTTAGGAAAGTTTGGTCAGATTTTCAAAGGTTCAATTTACTATTCATTTCCTGCATGTTTAACCTGGTGTTCTGCTCTTGCCTTTGCCTTATTTTCCCCGTGTCAGTACTGTGATTTACTACAGCTGATGCATCAAGATGCAGCAACAACAAACGTCACACGTTTCAAGTTTCAAGCTCATTGTCATATCTGCCTGAACACAATGAAATGCTTACTTACCTGTTTCCTCACATAACGAATGGCAACACAAATTGTTGGAGATAAGAACATAAGACAATAGCATGTGTGCCAACTACATAGTGGAAAGTAGCAGCACTATACAAAAGATTCATACAGAATACAGTAGCTGCAGTTACATTAAAATGGATAACAACTGTAATCTTCAGCAGCATTCAAATAGCACAATATATAAAGACCAAGTACTAACAGTATTGTGAGTTAGTACCAAAGCAGTGGGACATAAAGTGTGGGAAAAAGGATTCAGAGGTGCTGTTCAGTAGTGTTATGGCTATCTATGAGAAAGAACCTTTCTTTAAACCAAGAGGTTTGGGCGCTACTGCAAGGAGCTGCAGCACAGTACCTCTCAGGTTGTCCAGCTGGTCCCTCTTCAGCTGGTTGTCCTCCTGGAGCACAGCAATCCTGGAGAGTAGGTCCTCCTCGTTCTGCTGCATAGTATCCAGCTGAGACCGCAGGGCTGCCTCCTGACCCCCCGCTCGCTGAGGGAGAGGGGCAACAGAGACTAGTTGACCACCAGTGAGAAAAGAGCTCTCTGTGGTGGCACACAGACTGGGGGGGAGAAGGCATGCTGACAGCTCAGGCACAAGAAGTACTTCCAGTTAGCTTGTGCTGTGGGTGATAGAATTCTAGCAAGAATCAGCGTTAGGTTGTGAGTGCTTTGTTGCAGCTGATTAATATACAGTATATTGTATAGGGATTGATAAATACATGCAATTGTGCAGCAGTAAATGTATATATGAAATAAATAACATAATGCTTGTTAAGTATAGGGTTGACCTTGTGGGCTGTTTTCCTCAGCCGTGAAACAGATCCTTTCAGCAGCTCTCCTTACCTCCAGCTTGCTCTGTAGGACGTGAAGCTGATCAGTGTTTTGCTCATGGCTCCACCTGAGGGCTGCACAGCTCTCTTTCATGTCCTCGTACAGGCCCCTCCAGTGTTCAGCCTCCTGCTGGGCAGCCCGGAGGGCGTCCTGGGGGAAACACATGTTAAACATAATAGCTTGCACATATACAGCGCTGCTCATCCCAAAGGATCCTGGAGAGATCTACATACAGGAGGAGACACACTTCATTCACCACCCTGAGGCGCCTGGGTGACTCACAGCAGCCATTCTGTACCACCAGGCCCTCTAAGCAGCAGATGAAGATGGGGAATTGCTTCAGAAGACAAATTCTACAGCATGAGAGTGGACTTTAGCTAGGACACCCCTGCTCTTACAAAGAGATCTATGGGATCATAGTGACCAAGTAGCCAGGTGACTAATTGACCTTGGTTTAATGGTCAAATATCCAGGTCACTTGGTTTAATGTCTCATTGACATTGACCCAGAGCAATGTGTCATACAGTTTTTTGGGAAATTCTTGTCAAGAGCAAAAGATCGCCACCTATTGGTCAACTAAACACCATCTACAGTAGCAACCGGTTTTCCTTATAGGGTTTATTTCTCAGTACTGACCAGGCCTAGCTTTGCTTAGGTTCAGAGATCTATTAATCTCACACGAGAAGGTGGCAATATTGCTGGGTGAACAACGCTGCTGCTGAGAAAAGAGACTTTGTTGATTCTCAGGTAGGAAATTTGACTTGTAATATGATTGTTTCCATTGCTAATGTTTTATTTTTGAACTCCAGTTAGGCTTCAATGTCACTGTTCTCATGTTAACAATAGTAACCATAGAAAATCGGAAGACTGAAGACAGAGACTGATAGTCTCTGCCTGTGTCCAGGTTGGCCTGCAGTGTCTTTGTGCTCTCGTCACCCTGCTCCCAGCCACCACTCACCTCCAAGCTCTGCACTTTCTCCTCCACTGCCTGCTTGTCCAGGATAGATTTCTGCATCATCGCCTTGGCCTTTTCTTCATACTTCAGCTTCTGCTCTTCCATCTTCAGCATCTTCTTCTTCACACCATCCCGCGAATATGTCTTAAAAGATTAAATCCATTTGATCCATTTTACACTCTTTGAATTTTGTTCATTTCATTTCTGCTTTTTCTGTTTACCTCTGAACAGTATGGCTGTTCTCTTACCTGCATGCACACTTGCAGCTGTGATTCCAGAGAGACTATCTTGCATTTCATAAGATCTTCATTATACTGAACCTATGGAGACAGTTAAACATTCCACTGTCATACACTGTTATCTTTTAGCAAAGTCAGGAGGTGCAGATTTCTAAACTTCTCCCCTTTGCATTGAAGAGTACAAACCAATTGCAGAAATACAGTTCAACGGCATTTTTAAAATTGAAACCAAACCCCATGCCTGGTAGAACATTAACGAGGGTTTTCACCCAGTCTGGAATGGATTGAAGCAACTATTTGCATTTTTATGAGCTGTAATAGTGGCATTAGCTTTCGAAATAAAACAAATCACAAAAATGAATTGTATCCTAAACATTCACTGCTACTGAATCTCAAAGAAGACAACTCAACCAGCTAAATGCATGACACTGAAAATCGTAATGGAATTAAATGTGAAAATTTCCACTCCCATTCGATTTGGTGAGTCCAGCATCATCGCTGGTTTTTTAGAACTTTTCTCTACCACCACCTCCCCAGATACTAACCTGATGCCCTCTTTTGTAAATCCCTTGCAGAAGGACAGTGACACAAATGAAGGACTCTGACAGACTAACCCTAACAGGAGTGCATAGCTCTGCTCCCACCCTTCCTGTGAGATTTGTGCTTTCTCAAGTGTGCTTGCTGAAGAGAGCTGCTTGTCTCCACGCAAGAGGAAGTGACAGACCGCAGAACTCTAACTGTCGCCTCACGGATGTTTCTGAACTTGCAGAACTCTTGATGAAAACAGGTGAGACCAGATGTGACAGAGTTTTAAAGCCACCTTACCCCGGGACACTCAAGAAACAGGGCTGTATTAACACAGAGCTTTGATGTCGCCGAGCTAAGGTAGATCACTAGGATGACAAGGTAAACAACATTTCTGCACTCTAGTGCAGGAGCCTTTTGTGATAGGAGGAAGCCATTTTGTTCCACACATCAATACATCAGCAGAACCACGTTTGCCAAAGAACCAGACTCATCTGTTGCAATATCATTGTGAAGTTTGGTCAGTGGTCTGCTGTGTGTTTTCTTACAGTCAGGGCCATTTGTATGGGAATACATCATAACTGCTTGTTCCTTAAATTAAATCAGGATGCTGCTTTGCAATTAAGGACTCAATTCAAGAATACAGTTAATATTGCCAGTGAGAAAATGCTGCACCTTCCACAAGCTTCAGCCTAAGCTAAAGCAGTAACAGGATGTGAATAAAACCACATAAGATTAATAATAGCGGAGGAGGCAGATTTCAACGTCTGTAACTAAAACCACAGGCAGTGATGCGAGTGACAGGTGGATTTTCTAACGTGCAGGCAGGGAGTGTTCTTTATTTTCAGTGTATTCAAATACAATATAGTCTTGTTTAGAAAGGCATTTGGCCCTGGTACCACTATCCTAACCAAAATAGATACTTTCAAAAATACAATACACCAATAAAAAACACAGGTTGTGGTTATCTCTCCCCAACATGCTATTTCCATTTTGGTGCTACTATCCTTAGAGAGGATGTGCATTTTTGTTAAACAGTCAGGTACTGTTCATGTGTTCATGGGATCACTGAAGATACTTGTGCTCACAGTAGACTGATCTCAGAAAGTGTAACGCTGAGGTTTTCACACCAGCCCCTGTGACCTTCCAAATTCTACAGTACACAGCTCTTGCACAAATTTCTGATCCTCTGAAAGGAAATGGACAGTTCTAGCATTGAGAAAGGAAGAAATAATTGACACACTCCCTTAAATTACAGCACAGGTGCCTGCTATAAAACCTGCGGTGTAAAAACTATTGTGGTGTTTTGTATAGTGGTCCCTTTAAATGACTTTGATGATGGAAATGTACTGTATTTAAAAAGGGAGGCATGGTGGTAGTGATTAAAATTGTTGCTGTGCAGCACTGGGGCCCTGGGTTCCATTCCGGACCTGGGGTGCTATCTGTGTGGAGTTTATATGTTCTCCCGGTTTGTGTGGGCTTCCCCTGGTAGGGTAATTGACATCTGGGAAACTTGGCCGTGGTGTGTGTGTGTGTTTGTGTGTGTGTGTGTGTGTTAGTGTCCGTGTTTGCCCTGTAATGGATTTACATCCTGTCCTGAATTAGTCTAAGAAGTGGTAAGAAAATGGATGGGTAAATTTACAACCCGCTGATAGAAATTACACCTGAAAGAGTTCAGAAGGGAGATTTATTCAAAACCACTGATGTACGAAGATTCCCTCAGCCCTGCACACTTATAGTACTCATATTTGCAGTTGAACTACAGTAGCTTGAGCTGTGCGTTCTCAACAGTTCTTGCTAGGGGTTGATGTTTTATAACACCACTAGAAAAAAGATCAGATCATGACAGATTGTAAGTTCATCATCATGCAGAAACACAATATGGTCATATCAGGTCCTTCATGGTCGCAGACCTGCACAGCCTAAGCGTTCTCCTTACCGTCCACAGTTTCTCAGAGGAGAGCAGTAGGGTAGAGGCGATGTGCTGCAGGATGGATAGCTTCTGTTTAAGAGCAGCTTCTCGATGCAGGGCCTCCTGCAATGGAGAGAAGATTAATTTCAAGGAACAGCCATCAGGAACTTTTGGCACGCGCAAATGCAAACACCAGCATCTCGTACAAAGCCTAGCCCTTTGTGGATATCTGTTTTTAACCTGTTCTCAGATGTGGAGTGAACATATTGAACCTATTCCTCTCAGCATTCTGTTTGGTATACTGTGTGGCTGAACAATCCAAAACAATCAGTCTAGATGCACTGCTAATACCTCTGTGTTGCTTTTGCTCTCTGATGTTACTTAACTAGATATCTGTAGCTCTGCCACCTCACAGGCAGTGAGTCAAGGAGGTCCAGCCATGCCTTAAACATGCAAACATTAAGCTTGCTGTTTGAGGGTCAGCTCAGATGTCTTCTTTGGTCTGGCGACTTTTCCTTCTGTTTCAATGGCCTCTTTCCATCCTTTCCAATCTGACCTTTATGTCACATCGTTTTTTTCTGACTCTTCACCTTCATTTACATTGTTTCATGCTTTAATGCTTTTAGTTTAATATGAAAAAAATGTTTTTTTTTTATTAAAGTAATGAGAGCTGCTTCATTATCTGTAGAGAGGGGGCACATTTACTACTGTAACACTACAGTCATGTATTATATGATTATTATATTACGATAAGGAAAAAGCAATGATGATCTTAGATTTAGATTTTAAATGTGGATTTGTATTTTAAATATTTAAGCATTCAGGAATGACTAGACATTTCAGTTTTGCTGTGCATAGATGGAAACATAAAATCACTTTGAAAATGATTTTTACAAGCAAACAGGAAGGACTAATTAACTAAAAGTTCACAAGTAAATAACCAACTTTCCACAGAGACTTAACTCTGCACCATTCAGCGCTTTTCAGCTAAGGGTGAGGAAAGATGTACAGTACCTGTAAGTAGTCCGAAAGCTCAAGAATCGCCTGCAGAGAGACAGAGAAAGAGGAGATGAAAGGCTAGTCTTGACAAGTCTGCACTGTGCCCTGACACCTCTGTCACAGCACCTAGTCTCCAGCTGCTCACTACAGCAAGCACTGCAGAGGAAGGAGGGGAGGGAACATCGTTCTTCCTCTTAGATTCTGACAGCCGATAATAAGGCACTTATATAATGCACTGAAACAAGCTAAACAAAACCAGCAAGCTCAGGTTTCTGGCCAGATTTCAATCAACTTCTTCCAATGTTGGCAGAAGGGAGGGATTTGATGAGCACACAGTCCACAAAGCTTTCTCTGCTATGTTTGAGCATCTAGTAGTATATATAATCCCTTGTCACTGTGACTGGCTGTACTTTGCTGTCTTGCACCATTTCCTAAACCATTTCTTTTACTTTAACACAAGTGTGTCAGAAAAGGCCGCTGCAACACCTTCAGGATTTAAAAATGAAACCGTACATGGACTCCTGCAGCTTTGAGAGGTGATGTTAAAGACAGAGAGGAAGGCAAGAATGAAAGACGGAATCCTCTGTGTTTGATATAACAGGCGTCAGGTGCTTACTGTTTCACTCGCAGTTACAACTCCACTCCTGCAAAAACAAAGAAGGAAGAGGAATACCGTTACTTCAGAGGGAAGGGGGGGTTCTCAACATTTAAGCCATTAGATAGTGAAGTTTTCCTCATGGTCATGCTGCAGGATATACTTCCTTTGATCAGGGTCACAGGGCTGAAGTTTTAAAGGCAACAAGTGAGGGGAGGCCTCTTCTTTGGGTCGCCTTGTTCATCCAATGATTAAAAAGAAACTTTGTAATTGAGCCCAGAGGCTCAGCTGACTGCAGCTTATCAGAGTGAAGTGAGGTTAGGACTCCCCCCTGGATGTGATGTGACAGCTACCCCACCAATGCTCCTGAATGTTTTTTGGAGGCTGGGTTCATTGGAGCAATCTGGATTAAGTTCGTAGGGTACAGCAGCAGTGTGCACAGAGTGAAAGTCTTCCAGTTTGGAGCGCCAAGCCCTGATCACCCTCTTCCAGGGATCAGCAGTCTAATAATCTCCTGCATCCACTCCTTGACTCGGGGAACACCTTCTTTTCTGTTCTCAAAATAGCACTCACTTCATGCATTAATTACCCATCTGACCCTGATCTATGTGTTATTCCCAATGTACATATGCTTGTGATGTATTGGAAAAACTTGACCCCCATGAAGTCCCCCATGAAGTCTTGTATCCCTTTAGTTACACAATGGGCAAACATCACCACTGCTTCTGGGTCTTAACTCTTTTGTGACATAAAAATGACAATACACCCTGCAGGAGTTCTGGTCTTCAGGACTTTGCTGCTCACCGCAGTGATACCCCTGCACCCCTGCCTTAAAAACACTAAACCACACTTACTCTGTCTGCGTGCTGGACTCTCGCTGAAGGTATTGGCTGCTGACCAACCCTTCCACTTCAGTCTGAACTCCTGGACACATGGGCCACAGAAAAGAGAGGTGTTGTTTAGCCTTGATATAAAAAGGGTTTATTGAATTATACATGAGTTTAAGGGGCAAGACTGACCAGTTATTTTTCATTCGCTTAATTTGCTTGATTACAGTTGGAGAAAATCTCAAATTATATGGAACTACTGAGTCATTGTTGATTTGGCTGCAAAAAAAGACCAAATGTAGTTCAAACTCCAGGATGTGCACAGAGTTTCAGAGGGAACAAGCTCAGTTCAGGGAAACCGATCTAGTGCCGTAGAACAGTGCCGGGCGTATTCCCACCTCGTTCTCTTTTCGGGGCCACTCTCTCCTCTTTCAGGGGTTCATCCTGTGGGGGCACTGAGAGGCAGGAAGCTGTTCCCGTTGGCAGAGCCTGCATCAGCACAAGGAGGAAGACCCATTGTAGTCCCTGTTTCATGTACTGTACATTGGGTAAAGTGCTGTTTGCTTTGGAATATTTGACTAAAACAATCCAGTCAATCTGTTTCATTTTAAAGCAGGGTGGTCCTGCTCTAGTACCGGAGGGCCTGTGAATCTGCAGGTTTTCTAGCTTTCCTTAAAGCATCTGAAGAGCTGGGGAGAGCTGGTAAATTGTTACAGTCAAGCCAATAATGAGCTCATTTGGGTCATTAAGAGCTGAGTTGGCATGCAAACAGGCAGACACAGAAGCCGTTTGGGACTGGACTTCGGCCACTCAGTTTAAAGCCTTCCTAAGTATTGCAGGCTGGTTCAGTACCACTTTAGGTCACAGCCTGCCTTGTTTTCAAAGGTGTTGCATCATGTCTTCATCAACCATATTTGCAGCCTACCTTCCTAACAGAACCTGATTAAAATATGTTGGCCTAAGTAAATGTAGGTGTAAATATTTCAGCAGCACTTCTTCAACATCTAGTTGGTGCAGAACATTGTGTGGCATTTCAGATTATCCTATTTTTTTCCCCACTAGAACAATAGCCTCCCGGTACTTGTGTGAGTTTGAAAATCCTCAACATGGTGGGTGGAGCTCAGAGGAAGTGGCGCCAGATCACTATAAGTTACCTGCTCAATGGTCTTCAGATCTGGCCATGTTATTCCAAGCTCCTGTGACATCACCAGTGACCGTCTGTTCAGGAGGGCCGGCCTGCAGACGTTAGACCGCAGGACAACTTTGGGCACCCGTGGTTTCTCTTCTTCTCCATTTGACACCCCATGGTCAATTTGCCTCCTCCTTAAAAATTCCCTCTGCCTCTTGCTCTGCTGTTCATTCTTCCAGTCGGTGTTCCGTTCTTTCCCGCCACTCCGGCACGTGGTGCTGTTGAAGCGCTCCCGGAGACACTCGCGCTTGGACACCCTGATGTCCACTTTCTGGTCGTAGCTCTCGGCCTGCCGCCAGCTCCGTTTCATCGGCTTCTGCATTGTGCTGCCGCTTTCCATCTTATTTTCACTCAAAATTCAATCTTAACCACAGCACACGGCCCCTTTCTTCCGAAAATTCTGAAGGGACTCTGCCCTTCGGTTTTGAAGAGATCCTGAAAAACAGACATATCATTTGAGCAATTAAACAACTGTAATTGTTTAATTACTTGTGCTGTTAAAAAAGGCTCTTCCTCTACCCAGAGAAGGGATAACTTGATTTCCATATTCAATTTCATTCTCCTCCCAGGTGAAAAGATTTTTACAACTTTAGTCTACAACTTTACAAGCAGAACTGGGAATGTCTGGAATAAAACCAAAACCAAATACCTTTGTTGTGTGGGACACACAGCCATTTAAATTTGTGCAAATTCACCACATAAACATCAGCTTGAAAAAGCAATGGAATTACAAATGAGACAATAATCAGTATACATTTCAGCTGTATCCTGTAATCATACCCAAAATCACTTATTAACATTATCATGCTGTTACAGTATATAATTTTATCATTTGTGTTAGTTAATGATTTGGTTTATAATACCAACAGATATATTGAAAACAATTTCAATAAACGATGTGCGTTTTCTTTTTTTTCATAGACTAAAAACGTCTTTAGTATTTTTTCTATTTTGCCATGAAAAATGAAGGCGTTCAAAAGCAGGTTGTTCTACTGCATTTGCTAAAGTAACTTAAAAAAAACAATACATTATCATTAAGAATAAAATATTATTGTAAAGTTTGTTTCTTGGACATTCAATTTAAGGATTATAAAAAAGAACAAGCTGTTTGAGGTTTTCATAGAGATGATAGATTATTTGATTCTATAATGATTATTGAGTAAACCGAGTTCGTAACAGACAGTAACTGGAAAAAAATGTAGTCTTCCCACTATTTTATAAAACCTCAGCTTTACAGGATGAAAGAATAACAATAAAATGATTAATTACTCTTTTCATTTTGAATACATTACTACTGTACATACTTTCATTCAAAATTCACTTACGAGGTGTCAGGAACAGGGCCTCCTGCGTTACAGTTTGTCTGAAATATTCTGTTGCTCAGACAGATGTAGTCTAGTCATAATATTTCATTGATAAGAACTTCAATCTTTACTCTCTTCAGATCTGGGTCAAGAGCTATTCATTACTTCTCTGCCTCTATCAAACCATTAATTTATTTTACTTCCAGTAGAAACTAAGAAAGTCTTTAGCAATTCTTCACAAAGTAATGCGTTGTTATCATAAATGTACAGTATATGAAGTACAGGATGTGCTTCAGAGCTATTTGCACAATTAGAAACTCACAGGAACGAGTTGGTGTGGTTCCCACCACACTAATCTGCTCTGAAAAGCAGCAATAGTTTGAACGGTCTTTTTTCTTGCAGAATGGAAATTTACGCAGCAACTCAAATAATGAGTCCAGAATTGTTTCAAGATGCAACAGTGTAACATTTAAGTGGGTCCTTTTACAGAAGCCCAGAACAGCACCACATCACAGGAATCCTACATTAATACATTATTGCACACATGAATATCTTTGAAACCACTGGATAGTTTTGCTTCTTCCGACATTCTAATTTAATCTGTTTTCGACCAGTAAATTTGAACAGCAAATTTTAACTATGCTTACACAGCCGTGAGTATAGTAATCGAAAAGAAGTCTGCTTGCATTCTTGATAGTTAAGTAAGAAGAGCCCTTTTTCTAGGGCGGGAGTTTCTGCATGAATAAAGCTGCCTATTGACACCCACACCCGAAGACTTGTGTTTGACAGGCAGATAAAAAACATGTAGTTTAAGAAAAGACCTTTAATTGAGTTACCTTCTCCCAGTCCTGCAAGATATTCTGCTAAGGTGATGTGAACACACCAGATGCCTGTTTGAAAAATTAAAACAACAGAAAGAAGACGCTAAGGGGATCCTCCATTGTGTTGCCTGAGCTCTTTTACTAGGCTCTGACGCTTGCACAGTGAAGTGTCATAGCCGCTGTGCTATTGCTGTGTTTTTTTTACGGGAAATGAGACAGAAACCACACCACTTCAACCCGTGTTCCTCTATCTCGTCCGGCAACCTGCTAGCAGCATGTGCCTGCTTGCAGATGGTCTTCCTAGATTAAGGCTGCACCCGGTCGTAGCAGCACTACGATCCAGTAGTGGTTACTGGTCGTGTTGTCTGTTGGTGGGAAAGACAGTGTAGGGCATGGAGTTTTGGGAAGTTTATATTAGTTTACTGTCTTCCGTTCCAGTGTTGCTCAGCCCTGAAAGTTTTAAAGGAAAGGCAGAACCACTGCCACCCATGAATAATGGATGGAGCATTGCTACAAGGCAACAGAATGTGCATTTGAAAGGTCCTGGTTCTTGTAATGTAAGTGATCCATCCCTGATCTTCTGTAACACTTGTTTGTAGCAGAAGAGCTGTGCCATGTGCCAGTTTTGAAGAGTTTTAGCATAATTTCCCAGTCAGAAACAGTATAAATGTAAAATTATCCCAGTTATTTTACATATTAATACAAATATGTAATATTGAGTAATTAGGAAAATATTTTGTAAAATACTACAGCTGTAATTCACTTAGACATAGGGACAGGTGGTTTTTCCATGTCATCTTATTTGCCAGAAGGAAGGTGAAAATACAGACAAAGGTATGCACCTAACAAACTTCACCCACCTGGAGAGCCAAATGTTGTGAGGATAACCTGTCACCAGACCCCAATTAGCATTCACCTTTGTCCCAGTTTTCAGCTTTGATAACTCTATGCATGATTGTAAGCTGTGATGATTAGTATTGACCACACATTTGAAGAAAGAAGGACTCTGTGTGCTAGTTGAATGGTGATTGAAACCGTACCCTTTGACCTTTGTCTTGACTATTCTTGAGTCCTCTGACAGGAGGGAAAGCTGTAGTGATGAACCAGGACTTCAGTTAAGTGTGAAAGCCATAGATCAGAATTTAACCAGAATAAGTATGGTAATGTATACAGCGAAGAACCATCTTTGGCACCACTATTGCATAGTAGGCTAGAATTCTGGATATTTCTGTACTGTTGCCCAGGTAAACAGCACTGGTTGAACATGTCTGCAAGTATCATTCTATCTATTGATGGCTTTCAGGCCTGCTCTCTCAGTGCTTTAGGCCTTTTGAAAATGTCTGCCGTTTCTGTCTAATAAACTGACTCTTTGGGCAGCCTGTGACAGACACTCATCACCTTTTGCTTTTGGTGTGGACATCTTCTGATGAGCTCAAATTGCAGTTGTTTTCAAGCTGGCAATGAGGTTTTCTCCTCTGCTGTCTACACTGATAACAATCAATTTCCCTCTTGTTTGTTACTTCTCCAGTGCTAAGCATGCTTCATGAATTCCAGAAAAACAAGCGTGGTGAGAAATCCTACAGCACGTTAAGGCAGAACACGGAACACAAAAAAATGAATGAAGGAAGTGATGATAAAACTGTAGCCTTTAAAAAAAAAAGCACTAGGAAGAAGTCTTGTTAGCTCTTTTCTTTCTGTAATGCAGATTTTTTTCCCTCTAATATTTTTTTCTTCATCTATGAGAGACAAATTAAGCTTTACTTTATATCATGTTTTAGCAATGAAGTGAAAACAGTAGTAGAGTACAGAATTACAGGGGAACAGAAATAGGAGCACATTTTACCGAAGTAGGGGAGTCAGTTACAGAGGTAAGGGCACCTGATACATAATTAGGAGTGTCAGTTACAGATGCTTATCTTCTGACTAAAGAAGAAAAGAAAAATCCCACGCTGTGCGAGACTACCATCTGCAGGCCTTCGTGGTAACACACAAGACAAACAACCATCTTCCCCATTTTGCTTATAGATGTCATCCCATGCAAACACACACTTTACTCCTTAAACCTCACTTTGCACTCCTACTGGCAGCTCCCTTCCTGTGAGCAGAACTGTTGCAAAGGTGGATCACACTTTTAGGCAAAGTTACTTTCACCTGTATACATTCATATAGCTAGGGATTGTAACAGAGCTAATCAAAATGAAGTACTCCACTCAAATGTACAATCTGAGCACCTTGCTCCAGGCCTGCTCTCAAAAGTGACAAGATAGAAATCCTCCCTAAATCAAGTAATTAGCCAGGAAGACTCTTAGAATAATGGGGATGTTTCCTACACATGTATTTTTCTCCAAGAGAACGGTTACACACATATTAGGTTTATCTGTAAGTTTTTTTATAAGTTTCAAAATATCTTTTATTGCTAATTTGAAATAAAAAGTTGTATTAATGTATATTGCCCATGGAACTGTACTTTTCTTTGAATTATTATAATAAAATATATTTCTTATGTCTTGGGATTGTAAACTATGGTAGGTATTTCACTTAGACTTAGAGACAGGCATGTTTCTAGCCTTAATCTTAATGCTTATTTCCCTTACCAATATGGAATCATACTGCTAACGTTACTGACTATTCGTCTCTATGGTAACACCCCGGATATGAAAGTGACTTTAAGTGCCAGTTGTATTCTCGCGATCTTTCGCAGCGTGAGATCTCCGCCATCGTTGTCCCTTTCCATTGCAGAAGGGCACGGAGAGGCCGACAGCGGGGAAAGGAGTATTGCATGAATTAAAAAGAGACCGGTCTTGCTAAAACTCCGTACCAACAGTAGGAGAGTAGCCATGTTGTCAAGACTGGTGCTGGTGTCAGGTAAATACAGTATAAGACCTTTGTCTGTTTGACCCAGTAGGTAAGCCGGTGGAGTGAAATTGAAGGGTAAGGTGACGTCAGGCCTCTATATATTCTGGGCGGTCAAAGCAGATATACCGGTACTTTCTTTACAATCTCTTGTAAATAAAAATCATTATTTAGTTTTAAATGGAAATATACTGTGGGCGAATTGGTAATGTACCGGAATAAAAACAGAGTGACATTTAAGTCAAAGTCTGCTGGGCTCTGGTGTGCACAGGTCTGCAAGAAGAGGTTCAAATATCACCTGAAAGTTGTGCTCTTCAAACATTTATTTGGTTATATCCACGTGAAGCGTGCTATTGTAGTGTAAAAGTTCTGTCTCTTAAATCTAAAGTTAGATCATGTACATGCAGATCACTGCCTTTTTAGTCATTACTGCTTATGTGTGGTTTTTTAATTAATACGATAATGGTGAGCGCCTGGGAAGTGTCCCTGGTTTTGAGATAGAAGTTTATAGTCCATAATAAAGCACTACAATGTATGTAGTTCATTTTTTTACTTTAGCATAAAATCTATAATGTCATTTGCAAGAATCATATCAGCCAATAGACAGGTTTCTTGAGGTTTAGAAGCAGTTCTTTGAATCCATTTTAAGAGAAGCTAGAGAAACTCTGAAGGTTATGAAAAACGAATCCAAATGGAGAGAGCCAAAGCTCTTTTCTTTTTATGCTCAGTCTTATTCTTTCACTTAGAAATTAACTTTTCAGTATGATGAAGTGTGAATGTCGTGTTTTAATTTTATGATCAGACTCCGATTCTTCTGTCGACATTCCAGATCAAATTATTGCTGCAATCTAGATTTATTTCACATTTTAAATATATTGCTGTTTGTTTTTTCTTCTAGCCTCTGCCCTGAAAAGCAGTGCGCCTCTTGGTGCTGGGTAAGTCCCTATGAACCTTCAAGATATTTGTAAATCAAATTACGTATTGTAGTATTTTCCAATGTTATTCTTGAACTGACTTCAACATGTCTGGATCATTTTGCTTTGGGTTGGGAAGGGGATGCTGTAAAAAGAAGGGTTGTGTTTTTCTTAATAGAGGTCTGTTTACTTTGAGACACAAACGTAGGTGGTGAAGCTGAAGAGCTCTCCCTTCTTCCTTCTGCTTTTTGCACTCTTCCATCACAGATCAGCCTGTTTGGGCAGGAACTAGACTGTGAGATTCTGTACATCTGATGGAGCCAGTTACACGGGGTGATGTTAGCCCCTTGACATTTGAGTGTAGAGTTCTGTAGCAGAGAACTCGGTCTTGCATCCTCTTACACAGTGAGCTCACTACAGGCTGGGTTCTGCCTCTGTCGCCCCTGCTGGGATTTGATCAGTTCCTCAGGGGGCTCGGGGCACACACACAGTGCCTCAGCTCCCCATCCCGCCCCATAGTGGAAAATATCACTATGTCGCTAGATCAGGTCCTTCATCATGGGTAATTTCTACACTGTCTAGGGTTCAGTGGTGTGGTGTCACCTTCTGCAACACACCCTTGAATGCTGGGTCCCATTATGCATGTCATGCCATGCAAGTTTTTCAGTGTTTGAGTGTGTTCTCCAGGTTATGGGTGAGCAGCTTGTTCCATACTCCCACAACCCTTTGGGTAAAGGGCCTCCTGATGTTGGTTTGTAATGCACTTCCATATAGTTTTCTCTGATTGTGTTTCCCCCCACTTATGTGGCGGTGTGTCTTCCTCTCCAGTCTAGTGCAGGCATCCCGCTCCTTCCACACAGCCCCGCAGTGTCTGGCTCCGGTGCCGCCGCTGCCGGAGAAGGGAGGCAAAGTGCGCTATGGGCTCATCCCTGAGGAGTTCTTCCAGTTTCTCTACCCCAAGACTGGGGTCACAGGTCAGCAGCACCCTTGGAATCTATTCAATAATAGTCTCCATATTTCTGCCTCGGTAAGCTGCAGGTTTCTCTGTACACTATCTCATGTATTTTGGGTTGGTAAGAAGTAGTAGCTAGGGCTCTGTTCATCTTCCTGTCTGGTTATGGGTTTAAGTCCTCAGTGTGTGGACACTAGTAATGGAAGTTACTTCAGACCTGTTGTACCGTTCCACCTACATTTATACTTGGGGAGCAGCGTTGTTGGGGACTGATCTGTGATGGGTTAGCAATTATGGGGGTTAGTTTCTCTGCTTACCAGCTGAATGAGCTGAGTAGACATGTGACAGATATTGCATATGACCTGTCTATCACTATCATGGTGCAAATACATTTAGTTTTTTTTTAACATAGATTAATAGGTAGATTAGATTCCTTTTGTCTTTTTTCTTTGTCACTCTTTAGGCCCCTACATGCTAGGGACGGGTCTCCTGTTGTACCTGCTGTCTAAAGAGATCTACGTTATTAACCACGAGACATTCGCTGCCGCCTCTATTGGTATTGTAATTGTTTATGGCGTGAAGAAGTTTGGTCCTACAGTGGCAGCCTTCGCTGACAAACTGAATGAGGTAATTTCCCTTGCTGACCTTTCATATGCTGCTTTATACAGTGACTTGACTATAGACCATGGATGCCAGGTGAAGTGAAAGTAATGACAAGAATGAAACTTGCAGATATTTAGAAAGCTATGTTTTTTGTGGGTACGCTTTTTGCTGATTTGAGGTTTGTAGTGCAAGGTGCTACGGAGTCGGGCCGTCTTCAATATTTCATTTAAGATTAAGACAAGGAATGAGATCACGCCTTTTTCAGTTACAGCACAGGTTGTTTTGGTAATCAAGCACATCTTTTAGAAAATCACCAAATTTATCTGCATGGCTTTTTTATTCACATACATTACGTTACTTATGATGTTACAGAAAGCCAGGTGGTGGTAAAGAGCTGACTTAATCATTAAAGAGAAGCAGACTTTATCCCAAGTGTACTGAGTCATTAAAAAGCTGATTGGTAAGGGAGATGGCTGTATGGCTTCTTTGTCATCTCGCACCTCGCTATGGGCTCATCACGAACTGCCCCGCGCTCGGGGGGCTGTGTGATTGCAGGAGAAGGTGGCGAAAGCACACGAAGTGAAGGAGCTGGCCATGAGTAGCCTGCAGCAGGCCATCGAGAGCGAGAAGAAGGAACAGTGGAGAGCTAATGGGAGGCACATGCTCTTTGATGCCAAGAGGGTGAGTGAAATGATGGAGGGAGTGGGTTGCTGGGGCCCTAACTTCCTCTTCCAGCCTCATTCATTAAAGAGTGTGTTGGAGGGGTCTACACCTCCATTCCCCGGGAGCTGCAGAATTTCCTATTGACATGCAGCAGTGTACTCTGTGGGAACCAAAGAAAGTCCTAATTCCTCTTCCTGAGTTTCCATATTGATGTGTCATGTAATGTTCCTCTATCCCCCAATCCCATCTAGAACAACGTTGCCATGTTGCTGGAGACCAACTACAGGGAGAGGCTGCACATGGTTACCAACGAGGTGAAGAAGCGCCTGGACTACCAGATCGACGTCCAGAGCCTGCAGAGACGCATGGAGCAGGAGCACATGATCAACTGGGTGGAGAAGAGTGTGATTCAGAGCATCACCCCCCAGCAGGTACAGGACCCCCCTGTGAGACACCTCGTACCACCTCTGTGGGCATGCTGTGGGATTTTGTATTCATCGAGCAGTTTTTTTTGCCAGCCGTTTTGGTATGGTCTTCTTTGTAAAACCTGGAAAAGTCTTTAAGCTAGTATAGAAAAGGGAGTGTTCATTAACCATTTAAAGACTTAAGAGTCAGCAAAACAGCACTAGGATATAAATATGATTTCACTTTTTTCTTTTTTGTGTTGAAAAGGGAAATGTTTTGCTCTAGGCTCTTAAATGTCAAAAGGGATTAATAATTTCTACCATTTTTTTTACCAATTTCTAACTTTCAGAACTTGTCATTCAGGTGTGTTGCTTGAAAAAGGAAATTAGTTTTTTCTTTTTTAATACCTATCCACTATCGTAAAAAAAGGCTTGTTCAGCTAATGCTGAAAGGAGAAAGAAATAATGTAAGCTGTGATCCTAGATATTCTGTTTCACTTCCTGTCTTATTTGTTCATAAAACCAGTTTTATTTTTCTAGGCAGTGTATGATACATTGGAAAAGGTGAAACAACACATTGATTCTTCTTAATTCTTTTTGTTACAGGAGAAAGAGAGCATTGCGAAATGTATCACTGATCTGAAATTGCTGGCCAAGGCAACTCAGGCCCGAGCAACTGTCTAACACAGCACTTCATTCTTATGGGAGACCTTGGAAACCACCTGCTCTCCTATGTGTCTGATCAGATATCCACTGCGCTTAATTATAAATAAATTGTTTCCTCTAAAAGATCGTTTGTTTTTTTTTCTTATCTGATTTTGCAGTTTATTAAAAATTTAGATTGCCGCCTGCAAATGTAAATTTGATAAAACATTTTCCTAAGCAGTAAGGTTTAGCATAAGGAAGCATTGTTATATGTTCTTGTGAATGAATGAATATGAAAGAGTGTCATTTAGTATTTTTCCAATGTCCCAGAAGATGTTTATTTTGAGGGTTTGAGGACATTTGTGTGTTCTCATTCTCTGTAGTGGGAATGTTGAGAAATCATATGAAAGACAGGTGATGCTTAGATTAGCTCTGTGAACATTGTAGATGGACACTTCAGCAAGATGCAGTATGTGTGCTCTGAAGTAGAAATTGAGTCCATACTCAGTTTATTCAATGGAACACCAAACTTTTGGTATTCATTTGATTTTGATAGTGTCTTAAAAATGAAAGGCTTTTGTTTCCTTATGAAGTCAGACGCATTTCAGGTGAATGCCAGTATTTGCACACAGAAGATAGGTAAAGACTAAGCTGTGTTGCATCATTTGCTATCTATTGTTGAACTCTTGTTCCTTTCAATTTACGGAATTTTGTTAAAGTATATGAGCCTTACAATGTCGGGATTCATACACCTCTTACAGTATTAATATCATGGTTCAATTGTATATTGAATGTGATTTTCTCAACACATGAGGAAGATGGATGTCCTATCCTATGCTCTTAACACACTTTTATTACATTAACACATTTAATTAAATATTAAATATTGAAATAATTTGATGTATACCCTAAGAGTAAAAAGCCATTTGTTTTTTCTGACCGATGGGTAGTCTTTTCTGACGTTTTATTCTGAGGTGGGTGAGATTGGGACTCTCCTACCTTTTGAAAGCGCTATAGTGTCCTGTGGGGAGCAACATTTAAATGCCTAGTGTTAGATTTTAAGTATTCCACACCTTGCATAAAAAAAATCAGCAGTAACTGCTGCAATCATCTGCTGTTAAATGCTTTGTGTATTTTGCAAGAGCTTCTGTGTAATCTCTACAGCCTGCTATAAAAAACTAGGCATGGCTTTTTTCGGTCATTCTCGAGGGTTATCCTCTAAAAGTGTTTACAACCTTTGAGCCCAGGCAGAGTGTTAGCCACTCCCTTGCTCATATGTTCCAGGAGCAAGCCCCGGGGTCCTGTGTCCATTTGCTGATGCAGAATATTAAAATTACGAAACGTCTTGAGAGAGGGCATGGATTTTCCAGGAAGTGGACTTTAACCCAGCATTGTGAGCAGAAAGTCTTTCTCCTGGTAGCTGTGTTTAATGCAAAGAAAAACCTTACGATGTCTGGATTACACACAGGGGGAACGTTGTGGATTTGAAAACTGCCAAGTGAGACAAAAGGGAAAAAACAAAGAAGAAAAAAGGTAATGTTTTCGTATAGGGTGGGAGTGTGTTGATCTGGAGTAAAGTAAAAGATTAAGAGGTCAGCTGTGCAATTAGTTCAACAAGGAAATACCACAATTATAAATCATGAGAAATGGGAGACTATATGTTATGTGCTAGAAATTGTGACTGATGTGTAAATTCAATATATGAAGGAATCAGTTATGTGTACTGTAAATACTTTGAAATGAGACTTCTTTAGTATTAAGAGTATCTTTGTCTTCAGACCATAAAAGAAAGGAGAGAATTATATATGATTGTATACACATACAGATGTGTGTATAAAATGTTACATAACACCTTAAGCTGGTAAAAATAGAAAAAAATGCCTTTAGAGCTTTCAGTAAATGATAGTGAATTTTCTAAATAGGAGTTTTAAATGAGGTTTAAGTACGGTAATCTTTTTGCACCGATCAGCACCAGGAAATAACATAGTGACTTTAATGTCTAACTAACCGTATCTTGTGATCATGAACATAAATAATTGAGTTTGAAGCTCTAGCAGCTAAAAGCCTGAAAGAACATCCTTTATTCATCTTTTGGGAAATTTGTTGACTTCCAAAATCTATGTGTTGTCAAATATGATAATTTGATGTTAGTGACTTAATATCCAAGAATTTTTGACACTATCAATTATTCTGAAAAGAATCAGAACGGCATTTATAGTTTGTGATGTCAGGCTATTCCTTAATAAAGGTAAGTTCCATGGACGTAATCAAGAATCCTGATACTGTAGGTGAGATTTTTGCCCGAGTTTGGCATACCAATCTTGAGGGATTCTCAGAAACTGTCTTATCTAGCCATCTTCTATAGGGGTTAGGGGGTGGGCACACCCAATGATTGTGTGCAGCATTTCTTTCCAGATGTTTGTGAGTCATTACTTCTGATTGTATGAGTGTAGTTTCATTCAAAATGTTATGTCCTGTATTCCTTCGTGGAAAGAATCTAGCCTTTTTATGACCTGAAGGATATAGGGCAGCACTCAGGGATCTGCTACTGTGATATACAGAGGTTAAACAGAGCATGAAGTGTAATTGCTAACATTTTGTTTTAACTAAATTAACATCTTTAAAATTCAAGATGTTTTAACTTTCTGCAGTACTATCCTTTGTGTATGTGCATTGCAATCTAACACTGTATTAACGCATATGAAGTCATAATGCAATACAGATCTGTTCCACACATCCCACAGAGACTAAACTTCAATTAATACATTGCCTTCATTAACATTCTAATTATCTAGAATATCTACCTAGACGCTAAAAACGACAAGAAAAAAATAGTTGACTTTAAAAATCTGGAATGCAACTAAAGTCAGAGGGTCTAGGCATAATGTACTTGTGTTAGTTTAGTGACAACTTGAGGAAAACCATTTTGACTGGGTCCAAATCAAAACTTCACCCAGCAGATGATGCTCACTGCTGGTTTGCAAATGGCCTGGTTTTTCTACGTAAAATAAGTTAGCTAGTGAGATTGTGAACTGGGGCAGCATGGTGGCGCAGTGGCTAGCATTGCTGCCTCTCAGCACTAGGGTCTCACTAAATTCCCAGGATTCAATCTGTGTACGGTTTGTTCGTTCTCCCCATGTTCATGTGGGTTTCTTCCAGGTGCTCTGGTGTCCTCCCACAGTCCAAAGACATACAGTATTAGTAGGTTGATTGGCTTCTGGGAACACTGGCCCAGCTGTGAGTGTGTGCATGTCTGTGTGTGCCCAGTCATGGAGTGGCATCCCATCCAGGGTGTATCCTGCCTTATCCCCATTGCTTATCAGGATAGGCTCTGGCTCCACTCTGTATTGGATAAAGAAAATGGATGGATGGCTTGTGAGATGACAAAGATAAGTAGCCTGAAGTTTTGTCCTGTTGGAAGTCCGAGATTAGAAGTAATAAATAAAAAAATCTTGTCTGTGGTTCTGTAGTTCCTCTAACACAGCATTGCTTGTAGTTAATGTGTAGATGAATTTTAAATCGGGTGTTTCACATGATTGCGTATGCGTGATTTACTTTAGAAAGCATGTTCGAGATTTTTCAATCAGTACGTTTTTTAATATTGGGTATTTGTAATGTAAAGTCAACTTCACTTCAAAATGTCCTCTAGGAATATCCTCTAGGAATGGTCAGTGTCTATAATTCCTGAAAGGTAAGTAAAATGTCATTGCCATTTTGTTTTCCAGATGATCAATTATTGAATTTTTAGGCATTGTTTTTAAAAATCCTTTTGGGTTTGACATTATTTTTCCCATTCATATTATTTTTGTACACTAGAATGAAAGTGGGGGCAAAACTAATTCAATCTGTATATCTGTACAGGCTGTATAGATGAGTCAGGTGTTGCCTCCAGTCTGTTTATCTGTGATCATCTTCAGGGCTTTGCTGTCTGCGATAATGTAGAAATGAAAGATTAACTAATGACTGGGGTGTAATGAGTAACAGCGTGTTACTGTATCAATGTGATGGCTTTTCCTTTTACCAGCCAAAAACAGAATGGAGAAAAGATTCTGATTTTCTTTTGCTTAGATATTCTGATCTGTCTTATTAATGATATTCTCCCTGTTTCTGTCTCAAGTTCATTGTTTCATATGCTTCATTGATCAAGATATATTGAAGTTCTGATAAAGGAATAAGGGCCAGTGAGGCTTAATCTTATATAAACTCACTTTGTGGAACAGTTAAACTCCCCTCTGGTCATTCATTTTTTAAAAATTATCTGTTGTTAGAAAACTCTATACCTTTACCGGGAATAAACAGCTTTCTGATAATGGATAGATAAAGATTTTCTTTTATTTAAAGTAGTTGTAGGGTTCCAATAATGTTTACTTGCTGTGCTCAGGACTGGGAGATAGTTGAGGAAATATTTACTTTGGCTGAAGAGAAAGTTGGGCACCACACATAATAAATATTTAGCTAACTTTATCAATTGAACATGGGCTGAAATGCCATTCAATCAGTGCCCTTTCTGTCAACTAATGTTTGAGATGGAAAATAATCCTAAGGCTGCAGGATCAAATTAGATTCACATTAGTTATGCTCTCCATTAGCCAATTAAAGTAACAAAGTGAGTTGATCAACATGACTGCATCCTACAGTTCAACCGCTGCCAGAGATCTTTTGCTATCGTATTTATTGCCTAAATTCTGTGAAGCAAATAGTGTTGTCTAAAAAGACAGACAGTAGCATTAATATATATGAACATAAACATCTACGAAATAAACATATTATTATAGTAATATTTCTGTGTGCCACAGTCAAAAGGTTTAAACCTTTAAGAATATTTCAGCATTGTAAATCCTTTTTATATTTCGCTTGTTCACTTCTGAAGAATCCAGGGGACAGATGTGGATGTGGAGGGTGTGGGTGTATCCTGCCTCAACTCTGGCAAAATTGTCAGAAATTCATTATATTCATGGGGAATAAAAAGGCCTACAGCACCTGCAGTACCTCTCTGCAGAATGTTCTGTCACTGTGCTTTGTCTAGTTTCTTGGGTTGTGGGTTTTGGGGATCAAACCAGTGCCCAGGTCTCACTTAAAGAACATCTGGATGAGATCCTGCAATCAGGACAGAAGTCACAAAGGGGGGTAAAGGTCTGGAACAAGCTACTCAGCCATGTTGTTGAAGCCCACACTCTGGCTTCTTTCAAAAACAAGCTAGATGAGAACCTCAGATCACTACCAAACCATCTAGATGGGCCCAAATGCCTCTCGAATGTAACCGTTCTTACAGGTGTGTTTCTCAATGCCCTGAGTAAATCAGCTGTTTCCCATGTTTCAGATCCCTGCTGCTCACACCTCAGGATGTACAGAAACAACAGCCTGTTTGACTCCAGGGACTATGAGGGGCCTTTCCTGTCCAAGTAAGTCAAGGGTGTGGTGTTGGTGCAGTGCTTGTGGGGAGTGGAAAGGGGCAGTTCTGGACCTGTTTGTGTTTGACCATTGGATCATCAGTTTCTAAACACATGAAAAATGTTGTTTTATTCACTCTGGTACAGAAAATCCACACTAAGCAACCAACAGTATGACCATCAAATACAGTACATGATCTAGCCTCTCCTGATTTAAATGACATATTTGGCACAGATGAATAAACAGGTTGCAGATTTCCCTACTCCAAAACTTGACCTGATAATTTATCAGGTCCCCACAGACTACAACTGGCCAGCCCCCTGTGTAGTGGACAGGCTGTGTAGAAACCCCAACTGTAATGGCTTTGCTGGAGATGAACAACTCTATTAAAATGTAATGTAATGCCTTGCAAAATACCTTTCATGCCAGGGCATCCCAGAACACTGTGCAAATTTCTAGAACAAAAATTCCCATGAAAATGCACTGTGGTGCCTCCTGACTGGCTCAACCTGGAAAGGTTCTTGCTTGAGCACAGGTTCAAGTCTACAGTCATGAGTTCAAGCCTGGATCATAATGCTATTAGATTGGGATTGGGATTCTCCAAGTGATAGCTCTCAGCCAAAGGTCGGGTGGGACTGGATGGCCAGAGCTCACCTGGGTGACTCCTGTGACCTCCCGGACACTTGCACTGCGATGCTGTCAATGAGGGACACACCTCTACTCCTGTCGGAGCTACTACCCGACTGTGCTGCCTGTACCCCTCTACCTTCTCCTCTGTTGTGGAGTTGTTTACTGATAATCTCTTGATTGACAATTCACCAAGTAGCGGGCACGTGGCTAATCTCCACACGCAGGTCACTGACCCAGCTGTGTCTGTGCTCCGCAGTGGGTTCCTTCGTGATGAGCCCTCGTCAGAGAGGTCCAGCCTGTCACGCCCCAGTGCCAAGGCCATTTACAGTGAGTACAGCCGGCTTCTGCTCATGCACTTCGTGAATCAGGGTGGAAATGTTCAAAAATCATCCCAGTACTCACAAGAGAAACTCTAATGCTAGATTTAAGCTTTTTTCGTCTGTATTGTAAATACACATTGTGTTCCAGAATATTCTGAGGCTGAAATGGCAGTCACATTCATAGAGCCGTTGTCCTGAAGATATCATAGATGCAGTATATACCTAGAGTAGTTGATAATGCAGACCAATTACACCCTGTAGCCAAGCAAATTCATTTATTGAGGGACCAGGCAGCGAGGATAGCCTCGTTTTTATGGGCAGCTCTTTCCAGCAAGGTCTCTACAAGGCATTTGCTCCTATTTTTACAGAAAACAATTAGGCTTTTTCACAACTGAATTGGGGTGACAGGCCTTGAACATGCAGTTAATTTGAGTTATTTTGTCCTGGTGTCATTTGTCACCAGTATTTCACGAATCATGAAGGTCTGTTCCTAGAATAGTGGAATTGGGTCGGGCAAGGTTGTTTTTGTTGTAATCTTGGTTTATGGTACTCACTGAGTTCTAGCTGCAGGAGATCTAAAGTTAATAATTCTTGGGCTCATTCCTCTTACCTGTCAAGGCAAGTTTCATATCAAAGAGACGTCGTATCGAAAAACCTGGGCTTTGTAGATCAGGTCTTCTTCTCTTTTGCTTACAGAGCAGAGGAAGGAGTATGCAGAGTCAATAACCAGACAACCAGACAACTTCCAGTTCCGGGTGGAGGTACAGTCTGAAAAGCAGCTTCACTAGCCCATCCCATGTGGAAGAAAATACTTCCAGATTCAGAGCTATTTAATTTAAATTCATGTTACAAAAATCTCTCACAATCAGGTCTGAAGACAAAAAAGCACAGCAAAATCTTCAAATGCTGTGAATTTACATAGAATGAAAAGAGGTGGAATAGTAGCAAGGTGTTAACTGCTTCTATTTCATAGCTCTTGGATACTGAGTTTGATTGCAGACTGGGGCATCTGTGTGGAGTTTGTGTGTCCTTCTATACACATGCTCATGTGTGTATTCTTTGGGAGTTCCATTTTCTTCCCATGTCCCAAAGACCTGATGTTTAGGTTATCTGGTATCTCTAAATTGTTCCTTTGTGTGTGCCCAATGATGGACTGAAAAACTGTGCGTCAGGGATAGGAATTCCCGGCTTTCTGATAATGGAAGCATTACTCATGCTGAGAACCTTCTCAAAGCGCAAAAAACAACAAAGAAGTAGCCTGAATCACAAGACGTCTTCAGGCATTCAGACGGTTACACAGATTAGAGGAGGACTCTCTCTAACACTTGTTGCTTCAAATGGAAAATTGAGGCCCTCGTTTATAACAGATCTGTGAGAGAAAAAAAGCCAAACATTTGTACCTCTTTCTGTCCTGCACAAATGTGTCCTTCCTGTAATGGGCTGAAAAACAGATGTTTCCTCACCACTCTCTTAGACAGACCACATGCTATATGGTTAGCTGGATATTCTCCTGCTTGTTTCGTGTCCTCCTGTGCTGGTTTGCCAGTCTGCCAGCTGGGTCCTCCAAGAGCTCAGGCCCCCCTCTTTCCCTCCTCCTGCAGCACCTGTTCACAAGCGAGCTGGACAACAGGGAGGTGCACACCGTCGACGACTGCATCTCCCAGCTCAAGCAGCTGGACGCCCAGGGGCGGGTCTGGGGTCAGGACATGCTCCTGGAGGTGCAGGGGAGCAGCCTGCAGCTCACCGACATCGAGACCAAGGTGAGGAGAGGGGCCAGGGAGGTCATTCTGCTGGTTTCTGGCTGTTCGAGGTGTCCCTGCCCTCATGGTCACTGATGTCTAGTGCACCTGTGCAGTGGCCAGGCCTGAGCAACTGGGAAGGAATAACTGCTGCTTCTCCCAGATGAACCAGAGCTGAGCTTCCTCCACTTACATGGATCATATGGTACTGTGGGTTAGAAATGAATTTCACCCTTGAGCCACTGCTTTGGTTGAATGTCAGCCTCTTTTCCCCTCTTTGTCTGCTCCAGGAGGAGCTGGAGTCCTTCCCCCTCCGTGCCATAGTGGAGGTGAAGGCCGTGCTGCACAGCTGTGTGTACGACTCCATCCTGACCATCACCGTGCAGGAGCGCAACAAGAGTCGGACCAGCGTCTTCCTCTTCCAGTGCGAGGAAATGGGGGTGAGGATGCCTTCTGGACATTGAGACCTAAACCTGGGTGCTCTGTCCCTTTGTCAAGGCAGAACTCTGTGCAACATACAGAGCTCTCTCTGCTCCGTTTCTCACTGTGTGTCCCCTGCAGGCAGAGCATGTCAGGGCAGACTTGGACAAGGCTATTAACCAGAGGAGAGAGGAAACAGGGAACCAGGACAATATCCGGTAAGGCTGAGAAGGCCACACTGTGTCCAGAAACAAATTCTGCCTTTCAGTGTATGCACTGTGATGACAGGAACTGCACACACAGCAAGATATGTAAGAGGTTTCTGTTGCAGAAATAAATGCACAGGCATTATTCTGAAAGTACCCATGTTAGTATACAATACTGCACAGTTATGGAAAGAAGAAATCCAATGAATACAATTTTTTAACTTGTTGGGCAAATGCTGAAGATTTTGGGAATTTTCCTCAGGGAAAAATCTCCTTCATGTAAGTAAAGTAGCCCATCATATGAGCTTGGAAGGTCTTTCACTGGTCAGTGCTGTTTTCAGTGTCTACCTCTGCCCTCTCATCTCTCTCAGGGACAATCTGGAGAACATCATTGGCCAGCAGGGCCCGAGGCAACAACGCAACAAGCCGCCTCCCCTGCTGCCTCCCATGGACAGGTGGTCTGGACCAGAACCACACTCGTCACAGTGGACCACTCCAGATTATGGTGGGTCTGTCTAAATGACTCCCAGTCTAATCACTGTTTGAAGTAATGGCAGGCAGTTTAGAACCTTTCTACGGGAGGATCCACAGAGCTATGAAACCCAGACCACAAGAAAGGATAACATAAGATGAACCTGATTGTTCCACTTTACCCATTCTGGGTGTTCAGCAGATGAACATGATGGACATCAATATCTTTATCATTGGCAAACCAGTGGGCCAACTGCTGTACTCTTAGGAAATGACATATACAGGCAGTTTGACAATATGGAAAATTGAGGCTTAAAACTCATAAACATTTCCTAAGAGTAAGAGGCATCGACAAATGAAAACTAGTATTTACTAATCAGTATGTGTAACACCTTAACAGTGACTGATGAGTGGTGCTGTAACTTCATGGGTTCTGGTTCAGTTCTGCACTGGAGTGCCCTCTATGTATGGGTTTTGTAGGGGTGGGGCTCTTTTATCACGAACTTGCCCTGTCTGGAGTAGCACTGCGACAAAACCGAACCCCAAAGTAGCTGGAATTAAATTCTAGGGAGGAAAAGAAAGTGGAATAGTTGTTACAATTTAAACAACAAGGCTTTGTTTTGCATTTTGTGGAGTGACTGAAATTGCACAATATATGGGGAAACGCTGCAGACGTTTTGGTTGTGTTTGTGTGTAAGTGTGCAAGTACAATGTGATGACTTGTGCGTCACTGACTGTGTGAGAGATACGGAGTGATCGCTTCAATTCTCTGTGTCTCTCCCAGAGGAGGACAACCACTCCCAACAATTCACGCCCCAGGAGGAACCACAGTATATGCCAGAGGAGCCCCCAGACCTGCAGAAAGCTGAGTTAGAGAGGAACGTGGTCAGTACTAACACTGTAATGATTAGAGGAAGCCAATTGGCCCATCATCCCCTGCTGCTAACAATAAATAAAAAACAGATATATATTTTAAAGCACTGTCTAGTCAAAAGCATAGGAAATACATCAACAGATGATAAAGTGGAGTGACTGGAAAATTGGTGCAAAAAAGTAGATAAAAAGAGTGCGAGGTTCTTGTATTCCTTGATTGCCTTAAAAAGAGCTTTCACAATTGTGAATAAAACAGCAAACAGCAAGTTCATCTGAAGGCTACTGTAACCACATTGTGTGACTAGGGACAGCATGATCTTTCAAAACAAAGCTAGATGCTTTCAGAGAATTACTGTTCTTTGTGCTTGAGAAAATGAATGTGAGTTAAATGGTCCATTTTCTGCTTCATTAAGGCTTGTTACTGTATATTCTAGTGTTCATCCTACACGAAAATGGAGAGGATACTGTCCGTCTCTGTCATATTCCCTAAAATGCTTGGTGCACTTCTACCAGATTTCAGCAAACTGTCTTAGTGATTGTAGCAGAAATACAAAAGTGCACCTATGAGGCGGCCACAAACTGAATCTACTGCCGTCTCTCCCTAGACAGGGGTGTGTACAGAGAAAATAAAAAGTCTGGGCTTCATGCGTGTGTGTGCATGTCTAGGAGATCCTGAACCACGTGCTGAACGATGTGGAACTCTTTATTGGCCAAGTGGGGGCAGTGGTGGCACAGACCCCAGGGAAGGAGAAGGAAAAGAAGAGCAAAAAAAATAAAAGTAAAAAAAGTGAGTCTAAAAAAAGATGAACCATGAAATTGTTTCCCTGCACTTTATTTTTCTTTTATAAAAGATGTCTGCTGCCCAAATATGATTTATTCTATTTATGTCCTTATATTGCTGTACAAAGTTTCAAATGTCCAACCTACTTATCTGTAAAAGAGAATATATAATTGCATATTAGTGTTCATTTTCATCACAATTGGCAAATAGGCATTTTTATCACAAAGTAAACTTAGTGTATTCTGGATCTTTTGATCTCTTTTTTTAATAAAATACTAATTTCACAAGGAAAAATTGACAAGGTAAGTTAACTGAGAACCATTCTGACGTACGAGCAGTAAGAATGAAGACCCGTTTGTACATTTGAGCAGTCTGAGAGAAGTAAGTTGCTCGAGAGTACAACAATGTTTGTTTGAACTCAGCAGTATCCAGTTTAAAAACTCCAGAACCCTAACAACTACCCTACGCTGCTGCCTCGATGTTTATAAAATCTTTCAATCTTCACTCGAAGATTAGTCTAAGATTTCACTAGCCTGGCTGTGGAGCTTTTCCGAATCTACAAAGGTTTTTCAGTAAGTAAATTCCACTTAATCAACCTGGGAAAAAGCAGTATAACAGCACTTGTCCCAAACTGTATGAGACATTCAGTGGAGACTCTGCGTGTTCGCTCTCTGCAGATGCTCCTGTACAGGGATTACCATCGACAGGGGAGTTCGCCTCCTGTATGCAGAAAATCAAATATGGATTCAATCTCCTGGTACAGTATAAATCAACATCTGTTATCTTGTGCCTTATGACGTATAATATGAAACCTTGTTAAGCACAGTGAAGGAAAGCAAGAATGGGAAAGTGCAAAAATGAATACCATGTGTATTTACTGTCAAACTTTCAGCTGGTAAGGGCTGTTGAGAATCAATATAAATTGTGGTAGTCCAAAAATGCACCATTGTTTGCATTTAAAATTTAGAGCACAACTTCCAGTTTAAGCGTTTTAAGTGTGATCTATAATAATGCAGTGTGAACTATTAGAAAATGTTGTGTAAGCATTCTACTAACATCACTCTCAACAGCATACCATGCGTCTGCTCATGATTTGTTAACTGTATTGCAAGAGGCAATGGGATCATTTGGATTTCATCAGTGGTTTATTGTAACTGTAATGATGCACAGTGTCGTACTCAGCCTGTAAAGGGCAGACGTTTGTCTTCAGAGAAAAGGAAGATGAACTGTAATCCCTTGCAGATGAAACCGTTTCATCCTATGTGCTCCTTTCATAATACATTGCAGGAATATTCTGCTAATTAAAACCCATCTGCCCTTCTCTGCCTATAGGGGAAGCTGAATGGCAAGATCCACAATCCCAGTGCACCTGACTTTGTCCATATCCTCTTCTCAGCTTTGGGTTTTGTGAGTATCGCTCTCATGTTCTCACCTATTTCTGCTCAGGAGAAAGTGCTGCAGGTCCGGTTATGGTTCCTATTTGTGTGCTTACTGTATGTGTGCCTAATGTCATTTCTCCACGAAAGGGGAAGAGCATTAAAAATGAAGAAGCAGCGGCAGGTTTTTTTTTAGAATAATGGGCTGTGGGAGTCTGGAACATGCTACCCAGATAACTTGTTGAAGCTGAAAACCCTCGTTTCCTTCACGAAACATCTGGATTAGGGAAACCCCCCCCCCTCTCCTTGTTACGTGTATGAGACGTCTTTTCAGAGATGTATTAAGGCTCATGAGAGAGGGGCATATTCTAGCAGAACCTTGGGGTTACTAAGCAGTTTGATGGGACATTTTATGAGAATTTATTTGTTTGTACAACCACAGAGGACACAGTAGGCTCACAGATGTTTGCATTGTTAAATTGTGATGGCTGCTTTCCGTCTATCAAGTGCACTTTGATCAGATTTTCATTAAGTCCAGAGTAAGTAGATATAATAAAGAAAAGACAGCTTAATCATTATGGGACTTCAAGCATGTGGAGGTACCCAGACCGGTGGACTATCTGCTCTCTCCCCACCTTCTCAGCTTACATCTAATTGCCCCTGGAGAGACCTTCCGCCTTCAGTCCTCACCCCCCTGCTCACGCCACCAGCCATCCAGCTGTTGAGGCAGGAGGTCAGTCCCGAGGAGGACCAGCTGTGGTGCTCGCTGGGTGATGCCTGGAATGTGCCCAGGTGAAGCGCTTTTTGCATTCCTTGTCCGAACTGTTGTGTCTCAGCTTTTTGTTGAAGTGTGCCAGTGGAGCACCTTGCACTACTTGCTTCTGTGATCGTGTTCCTGTGCAGTTTCAGCATGGGGGGTGGGGAGGTTAGGGTCTCAGCTCTTAAAACAAGCATGGTTTGGGGGCTGTTGTGGTCAAGACATACTGTCCCCAGTGTGGCATCACCCATGTTACATCAGTAGATGCTTTGGAAGAAAACAGTGTTTTCAGAGACTCCCTTCCCTATGGTCCCAATTTCAAAAACACTCCATTGAGATCTATAAGGATTTAAGCACCTGTCTCTATATATGCCATCTGAGCCTCTCCCAAAAGTGATATTAACAACAGTGTGCAAAGGAACAAATAAAAGGTTTTTTCCATGCTGAAAAAAAGAAGAAAGAAAACACAACAGCAAGGCTGGACCTGGGCTGTACTGGGATGGAGGAGGGTGTTATGCCATCGTTGTCTAATGCTAACAAGGGATCGTATCTGCCCCTTTATTTCAGATCACAGTGGCCAGACGGCAATAACATCCCTCCCTATATCCCCGAGTTCTCTGATGGCTGGCAGCCACCAACTCCAGTGATACCACCCACTGCAAACCACGCCAGCATGAGGCGGGAGGGTCGCCGGGACGTCCCAGAGAGGGAGAATATGTTCACGCCTGAACAGGTAGACATGCGACAGCCACGGAAATAAAGCCGTCTGATACCGTAAAGATAAGGCCTTAGTTAATATCTTTTCAAAAGCTTTTACATTTTCAGAAAAGTCT